TAGCATACTGGGGTCAACTAGAGAGAGATCTGTGGTCAATTTGGTGAGTCTTCACTCCACCCACTAAATTGAACCCCCCCATGCATTGATCCCCAGAGCATCAATCCAGCTCTAGTATAGATGTAGGCTTTGATTGCAGCTTGCAAGTTGCAGGTGCCTTTTTCTATTTGCAGCATGTAATATTGAAACACTGTTGTGATTTAATTATTAATCAAGCTAATTTATTAACCAGTCAGGATGCTTGTACTATGTTATTAACCAATTAATGTATCAGCATTCACTAAGTTGTTAACTTATTTGCGGTGAGAGTTTTATATATATATATATAATTTCTCCTGTCATACTGCATACTGTTTAAATATGAATAATAAATGAAACAGTAAATTCACGCACCCGGGGCTCTTTTGGGTAATATTGGCTGTTAAGCTGGCTCCTGAACCAGTGAGTTCTGAGTATCACGGCCTTAGGGTATATCTATCCTGCAATCAAAGATGAGATTGCAGTGTGCACAGATGCGCCCAAGCTCATTTAGATCTGACAGTTTGGAACAGCAGTAAAACTATGGACTATCTGCTTAAGTCGATACCGAGGATGCCAGGTGGGCTTGTTAAACTGCTGCCAACCAGGTTGCTGAAGTTTCACTGCTTTTGTTTTTCAAGGGGGCTAAATCAAACATAACTCAGGTATGTCAGCTGTTCTCTCTCACCAACAGAAGTTAGTACAATAACAATAAAATATATTGCTTCACCTACCTCGTCACTCAGCTTCGTCTACACACCACTGATTACATCGTAACCCCATTCTACCAACATTTCTGAACATAATTGGCTCTTATTTTACATTAAAAGAGTGTGTTGATTTAAATAGATTTTAAAGCTGATCTAATTAAACCAATGCAAAAGTTGAAAGTAGGTGTAAAAATCATCTTCATTGAACTCTGTTATTTACAAATGCAAGCTAAACCAAAGACTTAAATTGGTTTAAGTAAGTCTACATTAGGTATTTTCACTGGTTTAACTGGATAGATTTTAAAAACTATTTAGTTAAAGAAATGAGACTTTTCTAGTGGAAGCAAAGTTTAATTTTGCTCCTGTGAGTCAACAAATTCAAATCCACAGAACTATTCACAGCAATAAGTATAATGCTTGGTAGTGAGCATATGCAGCACTGGGCACTTGAACAAATATAATGGGTGGAGCACATGCTTACACTCAGTTAAAATTGGCCAAGGGTTTTTCCATTCCAAAGAGCTTTTTAAAAAGTCATTTATAGCTTTCTCAAATCTTCGTATTTCATGTTAAAATTTACCACATATGAGATCTAGACGTTGGAGAGGGTTTCTTGGGAAGGGGTATAGTGTGAGGGTGAAAGTTTAATCAGAAATGTTTCAGCTGTTTTAGTACAAAGAAAATATAAAATATATTTATCTTGAAGGAAAGTTTTTAATGTACAGTTTTTGGAATGGCACAAATGGTGTAACTGTTTCATAGAACCTTGAAATGTAGTTATGCCTTTCAGTGGTCTGGCAAAATCCATTTTTGATTTGACAATAATCAAGGGTTTAAATACCTCTTAGACACTGGTACCAATTTTGTTATAACGTCAATAATAATGAACTTAGCTCTCTTGATACTGGGGGATATATATATGATTAAACTGAATGGAATTTCCCATTCATGGCAAGGTTCACACTGAACATGTTTCAGTGGGGTTGGGAACAGAAGGTGGTGAGGCTCTCCACCAATAGGAGATGTATGTGATCAGCACGTTATTTGGGTATCCAAATATGGGGCTAGATGCCTAATGTTAGGCAGATTTAACATTTTGACCTAGCTAATTCCACTCCCATCCCCATTAAAAAAGAAACTATTTCCCCTACCCCTTTACTGTCTCTGAACTCAGTGAGAATCTTTCACTCAAAAATGGGGCATCAGAAATTATCAATTCCATAACAAGCACTATGGATAACTGTCAACAGTTGGCTAATGCCTGGGCATTTCTTTATATTTGAATTGGGAAAGGTTCAGAAATGGGTAACAAAAGTGATTAGGCATATGGAACTACATCCATATTAGGTGAGATTAATAAGACTGGGGCTTTCCAGTTTGGAAAAGAGATTACTAAGCAGGAATATGAGTGTCTACACAAGAGTTATTTACTCCTTCTCATAATACAAGAATTAGGGGTCACCAAATGAAATTAATAGGCATCAGGTTTAAAACAAAAAAAAATGAAGTATTTTTTTTTCATACAATGCCGTCAGCCTGTGGGATTCCTTGCCGGAAGATGTTATGAGGGCCAAGAACAGGGTTCAAAAAAGAACTAGATAAATTCATGAAGAAAAGGTCCATCAGTGGTTCTTAGCTGGAATAAGCAAGGATGTTGTCTATAGCGTCTGTTTGCTGGAAGCTGGGAATGGGTGACAGGGAATGGATCACTTGATAATTACTTGTTCAGTTCATTCCCCCTGGAGTACCTGACACTGGCCACTGTTGGAAGACAGGATGCTGGGCTAGATTAGGCCTTTGGTCTGACCCAGTTTGGCTGTTTTATGTCCTTATGGTCCTCTCTATGCAAGACTGATCAGCAATCCCTCCCCAAATGTGGGTTAAATGGCCTGCTATTATGTCCAAACGAAGCTGAAATCTAGTTTTGTAGATATACATAGTTTTAGATGTTCCATTACTGATTAATCTTCAGAGTGTGAGAAAACTGCTTTATTTGTGGCTAGATGATGGGAAATACATTAAAGCTTACATTAGTGAGAGGCAATGTTTTTTCCCTTAATCTTTTCAATTATACTTATTTTCCTCCAGGTGTGATAGCTTTTCCTGCTTACCTCCCATTCAGTTTCTTATACATCCTGATTATATTTCATCAGCTACTGGAGTGAATTGAATTTTTGAATAATTGCTTATAGAATTGTTCAAGTTCTATACATTAGGTGGTACAAATTAAGGCATAAAAAGAGTATTCGTTTAAAAAAGTGATTCTACTGACTTTGTATAAGCCATAGGTGGGGTTTTTAATATGTGCCAAGCTTAACTATCATTTTTCTTGCTCTTAGCATGGATCTGTCAAGACAGAGTAAAAATAAACTCTGCAGTAAGGAGTTTTTGAGAACTCCTGTGTTTTACACCTTTTTAATATTTCCATCTAAAGCCAGACATTCCATGGTGCTCTGCCAGCATGTAATTTCCTTAAAAGTAAAAGGCCAGTTTAAGTGATAATTTCTTCAAAATGAAACCATCGTTTTATATTGTGGGAATGATTTTTGGTTTCTCACTAAACCCTGTCAACTCTTAATTACTGGAAAAGGCTAGAAGATTTATAAACAAAAGCTGCATCTGCTTCTTAGCAGTTTGTCATGTCTTTTAAACAGCTTCAGGCTTTCTTCTGCACAACATCTGTAAAGTTCATTTGGAGAGCCTATTACAAGAGTAAAAGAATAGAAGGTATTTTTCAGAGTCATTGTTTATTTGCCGATTGTCCAGTGCAACCGTGTGCAATATGTATACAGATATACTACCCTGATTGTATACCCATCCAAGAAAATATGATTGTTTAACAAAACATTTATATCAAGATCCATTTATCGTATGTTGAAGGATTTCTTTTGTCTCAGTGTCAATGAAAAATTGGTAGCTGGTGAAGTTAATGTATCCCAGAATAACAATATGCTTTGCATGTGTGTGACTTCAAGCAGGGAGGCATTTTTTGAGGGTGGGGCGGGGTGAGTTATAGTAGCTTAATGAAGAGAAACCTGCATTCAAATGGATGGCACTTCTCCATCTATATGTAATGAGATAACTTTGGAATGTTTCATTGATTAAACCCAAGATTTCTGGGGCTGTGCTGAGCACTATTGGGTCAAAACTCCATTGATTATGGTGAAAAATAGAAACCCAGAGGTATGGGGTACAGTAGCTACATAAGCTGCTCTCTCTCATTGGGTCAAAGGGCAGCCTAGAGAAGCAACACAGCTAAACAAAAAGCATTATTTGCAAAGAATCTTTTTTGAGGGGCGGGGAGGTCTTATTTATAGGACAGGTTGCCTCCCATATCATGTCTTGCCCTGTCTTCAAGCATTTTGTGCTGGTCGCTGTCCACAGCAGGATACTGAACTAAATGGACCACTGATTGATCCAGCCTGGCAATTTCTATGTAGAATTCTTCTGTCCTCATTGAATGAGCAACAGGATTTCAGTTAGTGCTAGAATCATGCAACTTGCATAAAAGATAAATGATTGATTCCAAGGCAGCATGGTACAGGTTGGCTGGGGAGGTGAAGTTATCCCCATCAGCCTAGGGCCAGGGTAAGATGCTGAAATTGCTGCCACAGCCCCTCTGTGCCAGTTGAACAGGCAACGCGGTCCACCAGATCTGCAGCTACTCCTTTTACCCATCCCCAGACAGCTGCTAATGTGCCAGCCTATTTAAGGACTGAGATGCTTCCCACATTGCATAAACACAGGGGCGGCCCTTCCATATAGGCAAACTAAGCGGTCGCCTAGGGCACCAAGTTAAATAGGGCACCACGTGGTGGCGCAATATCGTTGAGGGGTTTGGAGGTGGGGGCGCCGATTGCATGGTTCTCCTAGGGCGCCAGTTGCTGGCAGCTAGTCTAGGGCCACCCCTGCTTAAGCACCCCCCCCCCCTCACACACACACAGCCCTTATGTGGCACTAAAATAGTGCAGGGGCACCTTAAGCCAGTGTATTAATTGAGGTGCCTTTTACTCTTAAATAGGAACCTTAGTATATTTATAATGTGGATGGCATAGACTGACTTTAATCATTCTTCACAGTATCAGAGTCATTCCATTACAGATAGCCTGTCCATCCTTATTCTCCTTAACCTGGGGTTAAATGATCTACGAGGCTTTGTACAAGGACTCTGCACTGAGTGAATGCCATTCAAAGTGCACAACAAAGCCACGCCTATAGGATAAAGAGACGACTGTCTCCGTTCTAATATTACCCCTTTCTTTTTCTTCATAGTAGAACTGAAGAGGACTCCACTCCCTGAAGGATTCTAAAGCCACGCCTTGTAGTAAGAAGCATGGTTCTTGGAGCCAAAATGCTCACATTAACAAACTGGGCTTTGAAGCTGATGTTTTATTAAGTTTCTAAGAGACAATGTCCCTTTCTGCAACTAAAAGAAATATGAATGAACTTCTTGTGTGTTTGCTGGGGGTTAAGCCAATATCCTGGCCTGCACAAAGGCCAAGTGTATCCACCATCTTAGTCAAAACTCAGTCAGGAAGCCAACAATGTTTTATCCTGTAGCTCAACTCAACTGGGCAGGAAAACTTCATGTGACCTGTATCCAGAAAGCTACAAGTCCTTTGATGAAATGATTTATTGACAATGACCCTGATTGTCTGGCTGATATTTGGTTCCTGGTGGAGGCCAGTGAATGGAGAGAACAAAGGTAGCTTTAAGCCATTCTTTTCATTTACCAGATTCTAGGTCCTGCCTGAGACTTGTTTAGTTCACAGTATAGATTACAGAAGAGAAGGGGCAGTGTTTGCAATCAGGTATAGACAATCAAGAGCTCAGGTCTTGAGATACTGAACAATTTTCAACCAAAATTTTACTTCTAAAAAATGCTGTTTGTCAGATTCCAAACAGCTTTAACAAAACATTTTGCTTTATGGTAAACTTTCAGATAATTTTTAGTGAGAAAATTCAAGCCTTGGATAAAACTCCAAGTTTCCATGAGAACATTTTCAACATTACTTTGTTCTAGTTTTGTTTCCATGAAAAGTCAGCCAGACTTTTCAGCCAGCTCCAGATAGCTCTTCAGGTGTAGGTTCTGTCTGCCACAAAAATTCTTTTACAAGGTATTTACATAGCTTAGCTAACCATAACTTAATTTCGTTATTTCATTTAAGGATAGCTTTGAAGTAATTTTTGTTTTTAACATACATTTTCAAAAGCCTAAATCTGAATTTCTCTTCTGGGATTTTTGATCTCAGTCACTTTAAGAGTGCACTGAGGAAAGCAGAACATGACCAAAGGACAGAGGGTTATATCAGAGATCTGAAGGTCATGGTAATGGAGTGGGAGAGACTGAAATGGAGGTTTAGAAGGGGATCCAAAATCCTGTTAGAATATAAAGATTGAATCCAAAGATGAACCCTAAGTTAAGATGTTCCCTTCTTAGTACCCACTATTGATAGCTATAGAATAAATAGAAATCTTTTATTGCTTCATAACCAATAGCTGGAATGGGTAGCATGTTTTTGGTCCATTATTTTAACATTTGCTCCTGGATTGAATATAGAATACTCTATCTTGAGTGTCCATCAGTGATTTAAAAACAAAGAACAATTCTCAAGTAAGCCAGGGATTTTATAGTAGCCCATTACCTTATTTAAAAAGCAAAATAAGGAAGCAATAAAAACCTAGTATATGGCCATATGAAAGCTATACTAAATTGGCTAGACAAATTCCATTTATCAGCAAGATGATAGAGATGGAAGTGAAGTGGTAAAGAGATAAATTGTAAATTACTTTTTACTAGTGGTTATGCTTAGAGCTGTTCTGTGGAGCTCAGATCAGATCTTCAAAACTGTTACTATAATCCACTGAGCTTTGCTCCATTGCGCAGCCTCACCTGAAGCAGCTGGATTCCATTCCTTTATCAGTCTTTCTTGAGCGGAGCAGATTATAAAAGCGACAGCTTGAAATCATACAGATAAAGCACTAGCTGAAGAGGCTGGAATGATAAGAAAAGTCTTTGCCAGTGGAGGCAATCCAAGATTTATTTGAAACTATAAACATTTTACAAAGATACATCATGCATAAAAGGAGAAACCCTTATGTGGCAGAATCCATGTCAGTTTTCTGCAGAGAACAAAGACTAAAAAGCCCAAAATGCTTTATACACACTGGCTGTGTCTACACTGGGCCACTTATTCCAGAAAATCAGCCGCTTTTCCGGAATAAGCTGCGAGCTGTCTACACTGGCCCTTGAATTTCCGGAAAAGCAACAATGCTTTACTGTACAAAATCAGCCGCTATTCCGGAAAAACTATTCTGCTCCCGCTCAGGCATAAGTCCTTATTCTGGAACACTGTTCCGGAAAAGGGCCAGTGTAGACAGCCCAGTAGTCTTTTCCGGAAAAAAGCTCCGATCGCGAAAATGGCGATCGGGGCTCTTTTCCGGAATAGCGCGTCTACATTGACCACGGACGCCTTTCTGGAAAAAGGGCTTTTCCGGAAAAGCAGCCTGCCAATGTAGACGCTCCTTTTCCGGAAAAACTGAAAACGAAATAGTATTCCGTTTTAAGCATTTCCAGAAATTCATGTCAGTCTAGACACAGCCTTAGGGTACGTGTACACAGCAACATTATTTCAAAATAACTAGCAATATTTCAAAATAACTTTGTCCGCAGCTACACAGCAGGCAGTTATTTCAAAATAATGTCAAAATTCTGCCAAGCTGGAGGACTTCTTATTCTGACTCCTGTAACCTTCATTGTACGAGGAGTAAGGGAAGTTGGAGGAAGTGTGCTCTTTTTCAAAATAAGTGCTGTGTTGATGCTCCCAATTTCAAAATAAGCTACGCAATTGACATGGCTCAATTTTTGTAGCTAATTTTGAATTAAGCCCTGCTGAGTAGATGCACCCTTAGGCTATGTCTAGACTGCAGGCTTTTTTTGCAAGATGCTCCCAATTTCAAAATAAGCTACGCAATTGACATGGCTCAATTTTTGTAGCTAATTTTGAATTAAGCCCTGCTGAGTAGATGCACCCTTAGGCTATGTCTAGACTGCAGGCTTCTTTCGAAAGAGCCTCTTTCGAAAGAGTGCGTCTAGACTACAATGCGCGGATCGAAAGATCGATCCGCTATTTCAAAAAAGAGCTTCCAGACTGCTGGACGCTCTTTCGAAATTCAAAGCCACAGGAAAGTCCTATAAAAGCAGCTGAAAGACCAGTATCAGTCAGTGTCTCTGGAGGCCACAAGGTATGCAGAGCCTCTTTCGAAAGAGCGCGTCTAGACTACAATACGCGGATCGAAAAATCGATCCGCTTTTTCGAAAAAGAGAATTCAGACTGCTGGACGCTCTTTCGAAATTGAAAGCCACCCGGAACTGCTTCTGCCAGGGCATGGGGGCAGCATTTCCTTCCGGGTGCTGCCTGCCTGCCCTTTGCAGAGACGCGTGGTGAGAGGGACACTCCTGAACACCCGTTGCTCTGCTCCTGCAGCTGCCTTTGCTGACCCTTGAGGAATTTTGCAAGGCATTGCAGTGCTGCTTTGGAGTGCTCAGCTTCCTGGGACACCCCAGCAGCTTTTTTCTTTTGAGGTTTTTCTGCTTGCAGACCCTTATTTT